ATATATATATAATATATATATATATTTTTTTTTCAAAAATAATTTTAAACAGAGCATAAACATTTTAACTTATGCATTTGGATTATTTTCAATTCTTTCGAAATTAATCGCTATTGTTAATATTTTGCAACAACATCGTGCGTGTAATTATGCCGTAATGCTTTCCTACGAAATTCCGAGTTCCGACTGCGCCTGTTACATAAAACGCCATTGTAAGTCTAAATCAGTTGTACAAATTTTCACGATATTTACGGTGCGAGCTCGTGCGCGAAGAAAGTTTACGGTACACTCTTACAACATGAGAATATGGTTTATGTAATAATCGCTACTATAATATTTTGCTATTTCTAAACTCTTATTTTATTAATTCATTGCGTGTATTAATTGCATTTAATACAAAGAGAAACGAAAATTTATTTTAATTTACTAAAATTGATATTATTTTTATCTTAAACTATTTAGATTTTGCAACAAATGTTTTAAGATGCTTAAAATTAATTATTCAGGTATAAATCAAAATGATACATTATATAACTTTAAAAAACAAAATATTTAATAAAAGATTAAAAAGAAATTATATAACAAACAAAAAATTAAAGTTACTTTTGTTTGTTAAAAAAAAAATATGAAATTGTATAAGATCTATATTTTACGAACTTTTTTTTAATTTTTTTATATGTTATTATTTTTTTTATTTTTACACCAAGATTTTTAATTATATCGTTGAGCGAAATATCATCAAAAAGATGAGTATTATTATAAAGTAATGCAATTCTGTCAGTTACCATGTCTAGGTCTCTTACATTTCGTTAATTTGATAAATTGCCAAGTTTACTTACCTTTCACTAGGTATGGTTGGATATGGACGAGCGTATTAAGAAAGCATGAATCGATCTTTGGATCTTTCCTGCTGCATGGTAATATGTACTCAGCTGTAAAAAAGCCTGAGTATAGGCGATTAAATATTACGTAATGTATTATATAATTAATAATAGACACGTTTAATAATAATAACGTATCATGGTGTTGAGCAATAAATTAATTCGAGATTTTATAGGCAATGCACGTATCTGATAATCACCGTAAATTCTTCTAAGTAGCCTTTTTTAAACATTGACACTAATCTACTTAACTTTTTTTAAACTTTAACACTTAATCTACTTCTCGAATTTTTAATATACGCACAGTAGATGCTCACATGTTTTATCTGAATTGCAAATTTTTATGTACTACACTATAGATGTGTGTATAGATGTACTATAGTTTTATGTATTATACTATAGATGTGTGTTTTTTTTTTTAACTGATCTTCTTGCATCATTCATCTTTCTACTTTTCCTCTCTATTTTAGTAACAGAAAGAGAAAAGATGAACGGTGCAAGAAGTTGAGTTGCAAAAAGAATGCAAAAGAACTTATTATTACTTGAAGAAAAAGATATTTTATATCTCTGTAAATACTTTTTAGAACATAAAATAAATGAAACAATTTTTGCTTTAGATTATGAATAGCATATATTAGTAACTTTCATTTTTTTGCATTATATGAAATATTATATAATAATTATAGCATTAAAAAATGTAAAGTATAGATAGTATGCGTAAGATATAAATAATATCTAAAAAAATATCTATAAATAATATCTATAAATAATATCTAAAAAAGTAGAATAATTAAAAGTTTGTATACTTGTTATATGCTTATTTAAGAAATAAGCATATAATTTATATGATATTTTATGGTTGTTACTATGATTTCAATGAATTATTAGCAAAAAATATTCATTGTTAATTCAAGCGATTTGACAGTCTTTTTTTCTTATTGTAATATTGCACTAGTGATATATTTGTTCTAACGGAAACTACTTTACATGGAGTATCATACATCTGTTTTTTTTTAATACTTTTGCATAATTATTCCAGGAATCTCGAAATATTAACAATCAATTGACGCTGTATTTGAAAGATCGAAACTGAAAGAAAAACTAATTTAAGTGATCAAGATAATTCTAAATGTGATAATATTTGACCTTCACTAAGTAAAATTTGTGTCAATGTACAGACTCACTTTAATGTTTTCGTACCATTATTACATCTCGTGGAATCTGAATCATCCGACGCATCAGTGGCATGATTACGTCGTCACTTTCACTCAGAATACTCATTCGATTAATTTAATGAGAATGAATGTGTGCAAAGTGAAAGATAAAGAGAAAAAAATATGGCACGAGCTGTAATGTTTGTAAACATAAATTTTATGGAAACAGGAAAATAAAGAAAAAAAAAAGAAAAAGATGTACATTTTTGCAAGTTTAAAATGTTGATCTGATGTTTAATTTATCATGCAAACAATTTTTTGAACATGCAAGTTGATCGAAAGAAAATTTTCACAAATTTTGGAAATTCAAAAATTCTTTTCATCACGCTCTTTTGAAATATTAAGCAGAACTTTTAATAATATAATTTGCAGCAAAGTATTTTGTAATTAATTAGGCCTATAATTATATCTTTTAACTGTTATGACAATATTAATTTAAAATCTATTAAATTTGTTTAATTAAAATTAATTGACTAAAGTATTTAAAATTTTAAAATAAAATTAAAAAATTTTTTCCTTATTAATGCTCGTTATTTTATATTGATAAGCATGTAAAAAATCATATAGTTAATATTAATAACTCCTGATATTAGTAACTCTTAGTTCTCTTAAAAATAAAGAAATAAAAAATCAATGCTAATTACTGTTTGCCTTATCGCATTATATTATAAAATTCCTGATTGAAGAAGGTCACTTTATGAATATGGAATGAATGATTGATATCCTATATGAATATCGATTTGAGCGGAATGATTTAAAACTAATGATTTTGAGTTCGGCGATATATCGCATTGGACATGCGGATTTCTGCAAAAAACATCATTTCAGGCAATAATGGATGAAAATTCGGCACAAATACAAAAAGAATTTATAGATAAGCTAAGATTTGCTCAAGTTATTTCCAAGCGATTACACGCGATGGGAAGAATTTACGAAGAAGAAAGATGAATGCCACCTACGTATACATCCTTTAAAGCACAATTTGTACTGCGAAAAATTTTTTGCTCGAAACCCAAGAAATGACAAACAGAACTAATCTAACTATTGTACCGTTGTTTCACAGTTTAATTCATGGTTCCAATATGGCTACCTCAAGAAATGTCATTACTCGAGTGCAACATAAAGTATACAGAGTGGAGAATAGACAGTGTTTTGCGTACATCGTTGTAATACCGACTTTAACCTGATACTTTCTCCGGACGATTGCTGCCGATCCTCGACACCAGAAATTACGCAATCTCTGACATAACCTTCGCCACGCCACCGAGAAACGTTACGCCATATATCGAGACATTATATGGACCAATGTGTACGAATTGACCGATATCGCTTTTTGCACATGTCAATTATTTCATTAGAGCGACTATACAAGAAAAATTAGACATCTTATGAGATATATAAAAATTATCGTACGTGAAATAAAATAATTGAAAATAACACAGAAAGAATTGCAATACAATATTGTTGAATTCTATGCAAAACTAATTGATAGATTTTAGTATCACTTTATCAAGGTCGTACTAACGTTATCCATGCTTTTAAACTTTATTTCTTTCTTATAGTATTTTTAATTTTTATCAAAAAATTTTGATTTAAATTTTCTCTTAATATTTATAAATATTTTATTAATGCAACGTTTCGTAGATAATTGTCCTTCATATATTAATTATAACAAGAGAAGCAAGACGAAATATGTAGATAAAAATCAGTTTGTTCATAATAATATAAAATATAAATTTATATATATTATTATAGTTTTCTTATTGCTTTTATACTTGTTAATTTATAATTACCATAAAGAAATTTTATGTTATAAAGACGTTACTTATATAAATATTGAAATAATACATACTATTACTATTAAAATATATATAAAATTATAACTTTTTAAAGCAAGTCAGTTGGTTGATTTGCAAAAATTAAATTTATAGCTTTAAATTTTGAAAATGTTGCGGAAAAGTTCGTACGACTGATAATTGACAGTTGCGATAGTGAAGAATGCAGATGTAATCAAGACAACGAGCTTCCGTCACGTAATCATATGTCTATTGTTTGTATTTCTTCGGATTACGACGAAAGAGAAAGGCAGATATGCTCGAGATGTTCACTGGAAAATGTAAATGAAAATGCGAGGTAAGATTACACTCGCGTAATCATTTCCTATTATCTTTTGTACGCACACGTAATCGGCATGATGAGATGTTCTCTCTCTTTCTTTTTTTCTCTTTTTCATTGAATGACCGCTAATACACAATTAATGCACATTTATATAGACTAACAAATATGGGTTCTAACATATCATTGAATTGTTATAGTAAGAATTATCATTAGAATAATAATAGAATAATAACGAATTCGGAAGTGAGTGAATTAATTCTTCCGCTATCTTTTAAATTCTAATGATATTGATTGAACAACTGTACATAACATCTTGAAATTTTCATGAATTTAACATTTAACATTTTGAATTTTCATGAATTTGATCAAAATATAAGTTAAGATAATTAAATAAATTATTAGAAATGTATAAAAACCTCAAATATATATTGAAATTATATTTGTAAATTTTATTCGATAAATGTTTAATAAATGTCGCTGTGACGTTAGTATTTTTAAAATGCATGATTTTAAAATCCGATCGAAAACAATCATTATCAGTATCATATGCATATCAATCGGTATGCATCGTATCATGGGCGATCAGGAATCTAATGAATATTACCACCATGGTACCTATGACTAACAACTGCACACACCGCATAACAATCAGTATCAATCGAATATCTAAGCTTTTAATCTGCGTGAAGGGCAATTTAGTAATAATAATTAAATAATTGTAACATGAATTTGAATGGACGGAAATTATTTTACGCGATGACCTTACGGGTGGGAAAATCCGGTTCGTTGAGCCCGTTATTGACTTCCGCAACGGTTTGATTCTCGCAAGACACCAAGACAGCCCAGCAGAGACCCAAGAGTAGGATGGAAGTTACCCTTGTAAAGGCCATTCTGTCAATAATCTTCTCGAGAAACACGACACTCCTCACTTCTCGTCTGTAAAAATGCGAGCAGATCCTTAACGATCACGCCATGCGATCGATTATCCTTCACGAGAGACGCTTACAAAGACTACGAACACCGAGCAACTCTTTTCCGGCAACTCTTCGAAGGTCGCGCAGAAAGTAATGATCGCGAAGTCGATGGGTCCTCGAAAGGGACCGATGTGAGAAAAGGGCTCAATGCAAACGAGAATCGAAGGCTTTTGCCGACGAGTTGCCGATGGCTACTTTGTGATAAACTAAGGACGGGACCCCTTCATATCCTGTCTTATATGCGTGGTGATCCCCCTACTCTGAAGGTACCACTACTGCCTGCCGACTTTAAGGAGCCAGTCATCGTGATCACTTCTTTCCACATCTGTCGTGACAACGCGCCCAGAACCAATCTTCTATGATCGGCTGTATACACGAAATTTGCATACGATTGCAACAATCATGACAATTATTGGATATTATTGTTAGAGCGCGTAGTTTTACGATCAAAAAAATTTTCTGGGAAAACATTGAATCTTTATGACTTTTACGGCTCATCTTTCACACAATAATAAAGTCTATTATCTTAACTATTTTTACTTTTTACGATCTTTTTATTTTTGCAAAATTATTTATATAATTTTTCGTAAATCTTCCTTTAAAAAATAAATATGATCATAAAATAATGTTATTTTATGCACTTATGATCTTATTTAATAAATTGATAAAAAATTATATAATAATTAATATATGCATTTGATATAAGATTAATTAAACAATATGTATCTTTATTTTTTAATTTTTATATTAATGAATTCTGTCAATATAATTATGTAAAGTCGATTATAAACAATTTATAACAATTGTGTATATTGTGTAAATCTTAAAATGGTTTTTAAATTATTATAGCGTACAAAATTATAAATAGAATTTTATTTTGAAATTTAATGTAAGTAGTAAGTTAATGTAAGTATGTAAGTTATATAGAGTATATAAAACGGAATTTATTTATATTTGATATATTTTTATATTTTAATAATTCAGTATAATTCAGTAATGCTGTTTACAAATATTTACAAATTCTTCTAATATTAACGTTATTACTAACGTTAGAAGTTATTACTTCTAATTTTTAAATGAATGTATAATACATAATTTATGAATAATTGCTTTTAATTAATTGCTTTTAATTGTTTCTAATTTAATTTGATTTTTAAAATTTTTTATTTACCAGATGAAAGTTATATGTGTTAAATTAAAACAATGAAATAAATCAATACGAATAAGTCTTTGTTCCGTGATGGTCAATAACAAACTTGATTGGCCAGGGCCATTTACGGTTCCATTGTCTCTTTGAATTTGTCCTCCGAGAAACCTGATTTTACATTGCATTTCTTGAATCGTGCATAACATACAAATAAATAACTTGAAAGTATATACCGCAAAAGTTTTATAAAATGGAGAACCAAGTTCACCTCGACGTTGCAATTATCTCCGTCATGATCTTATTTTATGTAAACTACATGAAAAACTTCTCATATAGATCTTTTTAAGTGAAAAAAACGTGATTAAATGTATTTAACTAAGATATGTGATATAAACTAGTTTGTCGTTTATATTTGTTTTTGTTATATATTGTCGAGAAATAGGAAAAAAGATATAAATAAGAATATAAATCGAATACCATAAATAATTATATATTTTAATCAAAGTTAAAGTATAATTATTAATATTAATTATTTAGTATAATTATTAATATTAATTATTATGTCAGTTATTTTTGATTGTTATGTCAGTTATATTTGAAAAAAATTATAAATTAATTAAGAATAGCTATTTGATAATTAAAACATTTTTATTTTCTCGCATTACATGTCTTGTTGCTAAGTAAATATCACATAAATAACAATTAAGTGTGAAATAAGTGAAACAATCTTCAAAAGAATTGCAACAAGATTTCATAATTACGTTGTAAGAGTGAAGAATGTCGACAAAATTACAGTAGAAAAGACCGAAAATGTAAAACACAGCTTCTATATAAGGAATTTTTATATTCAAAAGAATGAAATCTCTCAAGAATTACATTTACTTAAAAATTATTATTTTCACGTTTGTCATTTCTTTTACTTATAAGTTTTACTTAAATTTGAAAAAAATATATGTATTAATTAATACATATATACATATATAATACTATTATATTATATCCTATATTTTTAATAGAATAATGAATCAAAATTTATCATTGGATTATAAAATTTGTAATAAAAATATTATTTGTAATAAAAATATTATTATTTTATTTTTTATTTATTTAATAAAAATATTATTTTTGTAATAAAAATATTATTTTTATATATTTGTTTCCTTTTTGAACGAGTTTTTAGAAAATTTGTACAGTTATTGCAATTTTTTTTATTGATTTTTACTTTGCCAAGATTTTTATTGCCTGATTGTGTTTCTTAGATAGTAATGTTTTATATGGTGTATCTTTTTGCAACATTATATATATTATAGTATAAACTGTAAATTAAAATGACATTTTTAATAGCTATATCTTTATTATGCTATTTATCAAAATAATTGTATTTAATGGTTTTTAAATTTGAAATTAAATTTCTGTTGTATCACTTTAGACAGAAAATATAAAATAAATAATGTGTTTATCATTAAAACAAATAAAATTATCTTTAATATTTGTTGTTAATACACGATTTTCGTATTGGTAATTTTATGATATAATGTACAGGAAATAAAATCTATAAGCTAATTAAAGTCACACAAAATGGAGTAATGGATTTTGATTTAGTATGTTTTCTTTAAAAGAGAACATTATGGCTGCGTTCGGAGAGCGCGCTACTAGCACTATCGCATTATTTCGTCTTTATTTTGCTCATTATATGTAAATTAAGGATAGAATAATGCGATAATTCTAATAGCACGCTCCCCAAATTCAGCCTATATATCATTATGAATCAAGAAAAAGTTTCAAAAGATTCTTAACGATACACCTAAGAGATGATTTTTAAATATACTTGGTTGCAAAGATGGTTAGCAGATTGAAGGAGCAAAATTTGTAGATGTAAAATGAAATGTGAGTCGCTTGAATTACATCTATTATATATGATATCATACATATTTTAAATCAGAAATTGTTGAAAGATATTTTGATTATTTGAAAGATATTTATTGATAAATTATAAAATAATATTATTGGGTAAACAGAGAAAAATAATTTTATACAATAAAAAGGAGCATAAATTAATATTATTTTATTCGTATTTTCAAGGAAATTACGTTATAGAATATAGAAAATTAATTTTTTTAGCCACAAAGTTATATCTCTGTAAATGAATGATGTTATTCCTTCTTTATTTTTAGCATGTAGAATTGCACATGCTAAAAATGCTGACAATGTTTGCTCACAGTACAAACATATCGACTTATGCTTCTATTTGTAGGAAATTATATAAACTATGTTCGTGATTTAAAAGATTAAAATTATGCATATATCCAGATTTAATATATTTATTATAGCATTTTAAGGAATGGAAGGATTGATTATTTACAGCGTATTAACAAGTTGATTTTAAATAAAATTAATAATAAAAGATGAATGTAATAAGTAAATAAATTTGCAATT